TGAGGCCGCGTCCCACATACAGCAACTAGAAGGATGTGCAGCTATGACATACAACTATCTACTGGGGCTTTGGGGGAAAAAAATAAATAAATAAAATCTTTAAAAAAAAAAAAAAAACTATATTACAAAGCTATAGTAATCAACGCAGTATGGCCCTGGCATAAAATCAGACACATAGACCGATGAAACAGAATCAAGAGCCCAGAAATAAACCCATACATATATGGTCAACTAATATATGACAAGGGAACCAGTAATACTCAGTGGGGAAAGTATAGTCTCTTCAATAATGGTGTTGGGAAAATTGGATATCTACACGCAAAACAGTGAAATTGGACGCCCATCTAGTTAACAATAACGTCTTACGTTCTTGAAAGTTGTTAAGAGAGTAGATCCTAACTGCTTTCACCACAAAAAAGTAATGGTAATTACGTGACATGATGGAAGTGTTAGCTAATGCTATGGTGGTAATCATTTTGCAATATATAAGTGTATCAAATCAACACGTTGTACACCTAAAACTTAGACAACGTTGTATGTCAATTAGATGTCAATAAAGCTTTAAAAAAGAATTTAGACTCTGATCTTACATCACTCACAAAAATTAGCTCACAATGGATTGAGAATTTAAATTTAAGACCCGAAACTCTAAAACTCTTAGAAGAAAACACACAAAAAACTCCTTGCCATCAGTCCTGGCAATGATTTTTTGGATATGACACCGAAAGCACAAGCAACAAAAGCAAAAATAAACAAGTGGGACTACATCAAACTAAAAAGCTTCTACAGAGCAAAGGAAACCATCAACAAAATGAAAAGGCAACCTAGGGAATGGGAGGAAATACTTGCAAACCACAAATCTGATAAGGGGTTAATATCAAAAATATACAAGGAATTCAAACAACTTAATTTCAAGAAAACAAGCAATCTGATTTAAAAATCGACCTAGGAACTCAATACATTTTTCCAAAAAAGACGTATGAATGGCCTACAGGTACACGAAAAGGTATTCAACATCACTAATCATCAGGGAAATGCAAATCAAGATCACCATGAGATATCACCTCACACCTGTTAGAGTGGCTATTATCAAAAAGACAAGAGATAACAAACATTGGTGAGGATGTGGAGGAAAGGGAGCCCTTGTGCCCTGCTGGTGGGAACGCAAATTAGTGCAGCTACTATAGAAAACAGTATGGAGGTTCCTCAAAAAATTAAAACTAGAACTACCATATGATCCAGCAATCCCACTTCTGGATATATAACTGAAGAAGATGAAATCATTATATCGAAGAGATATCTACACTCCCATGTTCATTGTAGCATTATTCACAATAGCCAAGATATGGAAAAAACCTAAGTGTCCAGTGATGGATGAATGGATAAAGAAAATGTGTTATATACACAGTGGAATATTATACAGCCATAAAATAGAAGGAAATTCTGCCATTTGTGACAACATGGATGGACTTGAGGGCGTTGTCCTAAATGAAATAAGTCAGGCAGAGAAAGACAAATACCATATGATACCGCTTATGTGTGGAATCTAAAAACATTGAACTCTATAAAACAGAGAATAGAATGGTGTGGTTGCCGGAGGTGGAGAGGTGGGGAAATGAGGAGATGTTGGTCCCAGTTACAACCTTTCCGTTACAAAATGAATAAGTTCCAGGGACCTAACATACGGTGTGGTGAGCACAGTTAACATAGGTAACTGTATCCTATACGTGCAAGTTGCTATGAAATAGAGCTTCTATGTCTTCACCACCACAACAACAAAATGATAATTTTGTGAGAAAAAGGATGCATTAACTTACCTTATTTTGGTAAACATTTTACAATATATACACGTATCAAGTCATCGCATTGTACACCTTAATCTCACACAATATTGTACGTCAATTGTATCTCAATAAAACCAGAAGAACATAAATAAATATGTAAAAGAGATTAAGAGATACAAAGAATAAAATGAGAAGGTGTATTCTACAATATGTTAGAAATTCGGAATTAGAGAAGTGGAGAAAACAAAGATATAATATTTGAAAAAATAAAGATCTAGAATCCTATAGAAGTGACAAATACAGGAAATGGGATTGATGTGGGATATCAAATAAATGTGATTTTTAAAAAGTGGGTGTCCATAGACAGACACAGCACAACGTAATAGGAACACCAATGTTAAGGAAAAAATTGAATTTAGTCAGAGGGAAGGAAAACAATCTACCTAAAAATATCATGAATGTCAGCATAATTCACAAAATCTATAATGAAAGCCAAGAGAAAAGAAAATTTTATTCTAACACTATAAGAAATTGTGAACACAGAACTATCCATATTTGTAATTTCACTTATTCATTAAAATTCATTTGTAACCCCAAAAGCACTACTCCCAGTACTTTCACAGTGATTTGGGGACGTGCACAGAAAAGCAAAACCTTGAGTCAGCTGGCATCCACGTTCCCAGATAAGTCAACAGGGCAATGCTCTGATCTTGTTTCAGCTCTCATACGGTAAACCAGTGTCGTTTTCTGATATATTTAGTGCCACATTTTTGCATTTTTGTGCTTTTTTTGTTGGTGATTTTGCTGTTAAGATGGCTGCCAAGTGCAGTGAGGATGTGCTGCCCAGTGTGACAAAGCACAGAAGTCTGTGATGTGCTTTACAGGAAAAATTTGTTCGTTAACGTAGACTTCCTTGAGGCATGAGTTACAGTGCTGGTGGCCATGAGTTCACTGTTAATCAATAATATTGAATACATTGTCTTTAATAGAAACACACACAAAACAAGCTTGTGTATTCATCAGTAGATGAACGTGCTGTGACCAGAGCCTCACGCTAACCTAACCTTGCATTTTCCTTAGGAACAATGGATCAATATCTGCTAATTCAGTGTTTTAAGCAACACTGTAGAACTAACTCCCACAAATAACGAGAATCAACTATACTTTATTTGACTTTAAGAAATAAATAAAAGAAAGACATTTTAGATCAAGGGGGAGGCATTTACCTATAATCAATGTTCAATAAAAGAATTTCCAATAATATAATTGAAGAAAAAGACAATGTTCCCAGAAATCTGGCCAGAGATGCAAAAATGAATGGAAAGCAGGCTGGCCTGGTGGCATAGTTGTGAAGCTCACGTGCTAGGCTTTGGCGGCCTGGGGTTCCCAGGTTGGGATCCTGGATGCGGACCAACACACAGCTTGTCAAGCCATGCTGTGGCGGCATCCCATATAAAGTGGACGAAGATGGGCACGGATGTTAGCCCAGGGCCAGTCTTCCTCAGCAAAAAAGAGGAGGATTGGCATCGGATGTTAGCTCTGGGTTGGTCTTCCTCACACACACACCAAAAAAAAGTTAAAAAAAAAGCCTACAGATATATGACTGATGTGTATAATTGAATCAATTGTATTTGCCAACCACATTACAAATGTTTATATAACAGATATAACAGAGAATTAGTAATAACTCTCAATGAATTTATTCAGAAAAATAACCCATGCAATACATAAAACTATTTGGGGACTGTCAAATGCATATTAGTTGTAAATTTCCATTAACGTTTTTAAACCTTATTTCTTCTTCCACCACAGAGTTTGCACAATCTTGAATATTCGCTTATCTGCATGGATTAGCACCAAAGGACTAATGGTGGCATAGCTATTGACCACACTAATCTGGAACCACACCAATAGAGGGTCATTTATCCATGTCACAAGCACTGAAAATGAGAAAGTGAAGTCCACCCAGTATAGGAAGACAAAACAACTCACCAGCAGCAGGATGGTCTGAGAAGCCCTTTTCACTGGTGAGACTCTTGGGAAGCGGCTGGTACCGTGGAGGTGCTGGGACAACCTCTTATGTCTATACAAAATAATCACCATGTAGCCACTAGAGAGGACCATGAACCTTATGAAGGTGACATCTCTCAATGTCGTTAGTGTGGAAAACATGCTCCTGTGCATGTAGCTCATGGGCAAAAAAGAACTTCGTGATAAACAGAAGACTGGCCTCAGACCCATTGGGGGTGGCCACAGTGTAGAGCAGAAGGTGGCTACTGATGGACACGTTGAGGACCCACGAGAAAAGGAAGAATCCTAGGGTGTGATTTGGAGAAATGTGTTTGAGCTTTGCCAAGGAGGAGCTGCTGGGGCTGATGGTGATGGCCTGGAGTGCACTCAGGAGGCAGGTGGTGCAGATGCAGAGGCCCCTCAGCACCTTACTTAACAAGACTACTGCCTTGCACCTTACATCGTTCTGAATATTCCGTGACCTGAACAAGTCTGAGGACACCAATATTGCTTTGGTGAAGAGCAGCAGTATGTGTATTAGGGACAAGTGACTAACTGTCATGTCAATGGACTTAACCCTGTGAGTAAAGACCAAAGTGAAGACGTGGGAGAGAAGAAGGAAGGCGTTTGCTGAGATCCCAAAGCTGGCTTGTGGACAAAAGAAGTTTTTTATGTCAATATAACTAGGAAGTTTGGTCATCTTCATTAATTTTTTCCTAAAAAAAGGAAAAACAATAAATCTTATGATAATAGCACCTTTTCTGCCATGTTCCCAATCATCACCACTATCTTCAACAGTCTCTGTGATCTGGAAGCAGTAGTTTCTACACCTGAAAACATGGATTGAATATGAGTGGTTTATTATTCATCATTCAAGATCAACTCAGTCACACCTTTTTCAGGATGCTCCCTCTCTGTTTCCCACCCTCACCCCAGTGGTGCTCCCACTGTGCCCTTTCCTGTGCTCCCACAGAGCCTGTGCCCCTCGACACAGCGACATTGACACCATGAATGGAAAGTATTGTTTCTTTCCCACTTGTAAGTACCTCAAAGACAGGAAGGAAGTTGGATCTCTGCTATGCTCAAAATCCTGCCCAGGGATAATTGCAAAAAAAGTTGGCAAGTGGAAGCAGTAAAAGATTCAAACAGGACCATTCCCATCTTTGGCTCGTCTTCTTTATGTCTCCCTCTCTGGTGCATTTGAGGGCACAAGAAATCTTAGCCAAGAAAAATGATCTAATCATTTCCACTGAACAGTAAGTATTAACAGTAGGAGAGTGAGTTCTCACATATATCTTGGCACTTAGCCTATATGGATTCTACAGAAAAACTACAAAACCTTAAGATCTGTAAACAACTAGAACTCTCAAATTCAAATTTGGGTATTTATTTTGGTAAATGAAGCCTGGACCCCATGATGATGGTGAAGGTTGCGGGAGTAAGCCCCGACGTGCACCAAGACCCCACCTTGATGGGAGCAGGCAGTCCCTGTTTCCACGGCAAACCATTCCCTAGTCATGACCAGTCACATGATTCATACCACCATCACAAGAAGCTGGGTGAGTGGCTGTGCTCCAGGTGTCACAAGAAAAAGGGGAAGGGGAAGAGAAAGTGCGGTCCACTCAGCAGATCCAGCTTGGGCTTGGCAGACATGATCGTGTTGTGATGTGATGGAAAGCGAGGAAATGAGTTGTGTGCATCTGTGTCCACAGTCTAAAATTAGAAAGTAAGAGTGTCCCTAGGATCCTAGTGGACATAAAATGTACATATTATAGAAAGCATGTAAATCAGCACTAGGACATACAGGGGTAAAAGTGAATCAGGTCAACCATGAAGTGACAGATTACTTTGTGATTATCATTTTGGTCTATATCATCATCATTTTTGTTATTTACTCTATTATCTTATGGGGAAAAAAGTCTTATTCAACACAATAATGAGTATAAAGGTCTAAAGATTATCTGGGAGATAAAAGTAACACTGAGAAGGGGTAGTGGAGATGAAGGGTGATGGGTGTTTCCTCAAAACAAGGAAACCATGGACAGGATCGTAAAATCCATCTGGCTTATTTGGCAAAAGCAGAGACGTGCAAATTCGTTTGTGAAATATTCAATTGCAATGCACTCCCAAAAAGATCGTTAGGGACCTTCGGGTTGAATGAACAAGAGCTGATTCCCAAAACCGTGGCTCAGACAAGCACTTGTCCTTTGACAAGTGAATTGAAAAAAGGTTTGTTCATACTTGTACCTGCTACTAGGACATTCACAATCCCAGGGCGTCTGTGTCACTGTGGAGAAGTGGGGAAACAGAGATGGGAAAAAACCGGAGGAGCCCTACCACAAACAGAATATAACTCCAATGGGAAACCCACATTTCAATCTGTGTTTCCTGACCTACAAAAACTACAGGGAGACCAAAGCCTGACATCTTTTGCTGAACAATTTGCATAGTCTAATACCCTCATTTCTTTGCATCCCAGGTGTCGTAAAGGACAGAGAATACCTGCCCTTTCTCACAGTTAGGGCCATGAAAGTGTCTACAAGAGGAAACAAGATGTTTTAAATCCATAACTCAGAACCACTCAAACTCAGTGTGTCCTTTCTTCTTTTTTTTTTTTTTTGTGAGGAAGATCAGCCCTGAGCTAACATCCATGCTAATCCTCCTCTTTTTGCTGAGGAAGACTGGCCCTGAGCTAACATCTATTGCCAATCCTCCTCCTTTTTTCCCCTTTTTCTCCCCAAGGCCCCAGTAGAGAGTTGCATGTCATAGTTGCACATCCTTCTGGTTGCTGTATGTGGGACGCGGCCTCAGCATGGCCAGACAAGCAGTGTGTTGGTGCGCTCCCAGGATCTGAACCCAGGCCACCAGTAGCAGAGCTCGCGCACTTAACTGCTAAGCCATGGGGCCAGCCCCCTGTCCTCTCTTCTTAATGAGATCATCTGGCTGCACATCAGCAGAGAAGAGGAAGGAATTTTCCACTTTGAATAAGTTTAGGAACAACTGGACATTTTCTCAATGTATGGCCTGACATGTAGGTTTTCTCCTACTTGGGTTTTCTGATATTTTATTGATTATTCTCAAGGGCAAGAAGGAAAATCTCTGCCATCCTGATTTTGTTTTTTTATTCACAATGCTCACAGACCAGCCACAGTTTTCTTCTCCCTCGAAGCACAGAATTACAGAGGATATGCAGGATTTGGTTAACTGTGGATGATTAACTTGACATTTGTGGTAAATTACCTAATTTTATGAAGAATATTTTGTTCATTGAAATACAATTTAGGTTTTTGGTAGAATGTGTATTAAAAGTTCCTTAATAAATAAAATACTTTGAATGAGAGGAAGGAAATTTTCCTAATTATTTTGACTTACTCTTATCCATTGATTATGAAAATGAACTGAAACTAATATAAAGTACTTGGTCAATCATACCTTATAGCTTTAGGTAATTTAAATAGTAAAATTAAAATATTTCAGTAAAATCTATAATTGAGACTTCACACTCTTCCCTAATTAAATATGAATTACTTTCCTAAGTGTGAAATCAATTAAACTACCAGGAAGAAGATACCTCAAGTTACATGTCATATGCAATAAAAATATGTTCACTAATTACAGTGACGAAAAAGATAAAAATACTGTCACCTGTTAAAATTATATTATCTCATGTATTTAAAAAAAACAACCCAAGCCCTATGACATCACACAAGTAAAATAATTCTACCATTCACTTCCCCCTCACAACACCTTCAGGACATTTCAGATAGACTCCACTGCCCACAATTTCCAAGAAGGAAGTGAGAAGAAATACATAGGCCTTTAGAATTCGTGAGGAAATAAACATTTTAAAGAAACATAATGGCCTACATTTAGTACAACTATATTCTACAGAAGATACTATAAATAAGTACTCAAAAAGAATTAAAGTCAGATTTTCAGTCTGTCTAACATTCAGTTTTTGTTTTTGTTTTTTAATATTTATTTATTTATTTATTTTTTACCCCCAAAGCCCCAGTAGATAGTTGTATGTCATAGCTGCACATCCTTCTAGTTGCTGTATGTGGGACGCGGCCTCAGCATGGCCG